TTAGTAATCAAGAATATGCCCCCACACACATGACTACATGCCAGTCTGATCAGTACAATGCCCCAACTGAAGATCCCTCAGATAACCCTGGACTACATTAAGTTGACTGCAGAAGCTAACTTGGACACCTACCAATAACCACAGAAAATGGTTGGAACTTTGAGAGTGGTTCTTCTCTGGTCAATTCCTGAGATGGCTATAGTCCCAGTTGATTCCTTGATGGAAGAATATGAAAGAGACTGAGCCAGAGGACTTAGCTCCAGTATCCCTCTCCAACAGAAACTGAACTAAAGTTTTATTTTAAGATGTTTGTGTGTGTGTGTGTGTGTGTATTACAGTGCACACATGTGTGTTCTCAGTTGCACTTGCCCATATATGATGGCCAGAAGTAAACATTGAGTATTGTCCTTTCTTACTCCCCACATTATTTTTTTGAGGCAGAGTCTCTCATTGCACCTGTAGCTCAGCATTTCAGTTATATTGACTACCAAGTGATCTTCCAGATCTACCTGTCTCCAAACCCCAGCACTGGGGTTATAGACACATGCCACCATGACTAGCAGTTATATGGGTGCTGGGACTCTGATGTCTTCATGCTTGCTCAGCAAGCACTTTACTCACTGAGCCATCTCTCCAGCCCTTTAAAGCTATTCAATTTGAAGGTCATTTGTTACACAGCTACAGATAAGTGATTCAAACAGATTAACAAACAGGGTGTACTTTTTCCACTGGTTAAGAAGTTTAGAGTGATTAGGTATTGAAGATGAAAAAGGAATAAAACCCTATGGTGGTGCCTCTTCCTTTTGCAGCTCCTTCAGAAAACTATCAGAATGTAAAAGAAAATTCTGAGGGAGCTTCTAGAAAGGTAGAAGAAAATCCCATCAAAATTGACAGGTAGAGAAAGCTTGGGGATCCTGCCTGAGTTTTGAAATGACTAAGATGGCAGAGCAGCTGTTTCAGATAACCTTTAACACAGGTAATCACAGGTAATAAAATCACTCCCCAAATACAGGAATTAAAAGATTTCAGAGATCAATAGAGCTCGCTCCAGAGCCTAGAATTGTCTTCCCAATCATGCTTTGCTATTGATGTTGGACCTTTCTGTAGTGGTGACTCCAGCTACGAGCAGATCTGGGACACTGTCTGTTCTCAATATATTCTCATTGTTAAGGCAAAAAGAGGCGTGAGTGGCTATAGCTAAGGGAGGACCAAACTGGTAGTTGTGTAGTGAGTGTCGGCTTTCATTGATCCCAGGAGCTCAGATGGTTGTAAAGAGAAAGCACACAGTGGCTACTTTGGACATGCCTGATCATGACAGAAAGATGTGGGTTTGGGGGGTTTTGTTTTCTTTATCTTGCTTTTTTTGTTTTGTTTTGTTTGCAATGCAGAAATTTCTAAGGAATAAGGAAATAAAGAGAGATGCAAAGAATTCACAGCTATGATCCCACATTCCATAGTCAGTTCTTATGGAGGCCAGTCTCCAAGATGGTAGCCAATGATGCTCCACCTCCCAGTAGTCATACACCCATATTTATCAGTGAGTGATAGGCTGTATGACCAACAGCATGAATCAGAAATAATGGCATATCAACTTCTGAGACTAAGTTAAAGATGTTTTGTGTTCTGTCCCAGACCTCTGCCCTGCCTTCCCATTTCACTTACCCTTGGGAAAGCCAGCTACCATGTTACATAGAGGCAGAGGAAGCCAATGGAGAAGCCCACAGGGAAAGGGATTAGAGACACCCAAAGAAACACATGACTGTGTCTGAGAGGGGCCTCTCTAAGCCTTAAGCGAGCCCGGGAGTTCCTGCAATCTTCAGAGTCTGATCCAGATATATTCAGCAGAGCTCTTCCCAGCTGCCTGACCCACAGGAACAATAATAAACACTTGCTGATTTTTTAGCTAAGTAGGCTCCCTTAATCTCGGCAAAATGAGGCTAAATATCCATTGACATAGGAAAAGCATGAAAAATTTTATAGGTTGTATCCACTAATACTAATGATAGTGCTGTACAGTAAAGAAAACTATAATCTGATATGTATTAAAACTAGCATGTGCAGAGATATTCCTCACAGTATTCCCTATAGTGCTTTTTAAAAATGAAATACTTAGTGGTTAAGATCACTAGCTACTCTTCCAAAGGACCTGGGTTCCATTCCCAGCACCCACATGATGGCTCACAACATCTGTAACTCCAGTTCCAGAGAATTAGATACCTTCTTCTTCTATCCTCCTCAGGTACCTCATGGATGTGGGAGTCAAACATCCAAATTCATAAAATAAATAAGTAAACAGATGAAATAACATGACTGTTCCACAACAGAGAAATTGTCATGGACACTTTAGGGGCTCAGGCATGTTACACTGTATCTAATTCATTGCCCCAATAGCTATTTTAACCCCTTTAACTGCAGAGATGAGGAATTGAGACTCCAGGAAGCCAAATCATTTTCTGTAGATTATAAAATCTAATGATGAATTAAATCATAGCAACACTAATAATAAGCACTATACCCCCTTATACAACTATGTTAGGCACTGTTCTATATACTTTGTATACAATAAACCATTTAAATCCCAAGTCATCTGCCTCAATGGTACTTAAAACTATTAAAAAACAATCATGGGCATTAGGCTCCATCTGAAGGACTTCGGCTGCAATACTTCATTTGTGGACTTACAGATGTTATTATTAGAGCCACTAAAAAGGTATCTGGGGTTTGGAAAATAAGCCATTCATCATATTGTACCTCACTGGAGGACTAAAAACACTTTCATATGGGATTAACAAAAAATAAAATAAAATAAAATAAAATAAAATAAAAGCCTTGGAATCACCTTGACTGTCTTCTCGATCCACATCCAATCCATCAACAAATCCTGTCACCTAGCTTTAAATACATATCTTGAGTTTGACCACATGTCACTAATTAAACAGTCACCATCACCAGCCAAGCTGCAAGTCTGTCTCTCTGAATTGACAAAATAACCCTTTAACTGGTCTTCCTAATTTGACCTTTGTTGTCCTGCAGTCTTTTTCAACATGACAGCCAGAGTTAAAATTTTTTGGTTTTGTTTTTTGAGACAGGGTTTCTCTTTGTAGCCGGGATTAAGGGCATGTGCCACCACCACCTGGCCAGAGATAAAATCTTTAACTTGAGTAATAGCTGCAGATAGAGAAAGTGTCTGCAGGCTTGTGTTCTATGGCATCCCAGTCTTCAGAAGTCAATGAAATTGAATGCAACCAGAAGAGTAATGCCTTGGAATGAAAACATTCAAGCAGGGAAAAGTGACCAATTGTGTCCATGTCATGAAAAAAATCAAGTCAGGTGGTTTTTGAGGACCCACTGTTGAACTCAGAAACACAAAATCAATGGAGGCTTTAGCAGGAGATAGACCAGTGAGTGGTGCCAGTGAAACCCTGATAGTATTTGTATTAAGGGAGAATTGAAGAAGAGGAAGTGGAGGCCCCAATGGATAGGCCCTGAATTCAGACATCTCCTTCACTGTAGTGACTGAAATCAAGACAGAATGGTAGGTCTTCCTCGGCAGACACAATACTCAGAGGAAAGCGACAGGCACGCTAGTTCAGCTCCATGCCTGGGATGGCAGAGAGCACTGTGGAAGGGACAAATCTACACAGCCATCATCATGAAGGGAAGCAAACAGGTCCTACTAACTCCTGATTAACCAGGTAGGTGGGGTTTCCACTGGAGTTGAGCCAAAGATGTATTACTGTTACCATGGCAACCTCTCTGACTCCTCTTGCCCACAGTATGTATGACCCAAGATGGGAAAGTACAGATAAGGAGACATGAAGTCTTGCTAATTTAGCTTAAGGAGGAAAAAAAGGACTTGGGATTATAATATATACAGCATGATGACTATCTGAAAGGCAGGTGAAGTTTCAGAAAAAACAGTAATGAAACAGCAACATATAAAACACCCCTGTAAAAGAAATTCTCAAATTGGGAGCTTCTATTTTCTGTAACTTGTAGTGAAATACTTAGAGAGCTTCATATAATATAAAGGAAAAAGATAGTCAACCCAGCCTCTCTCCAGGAGTTGTTACAAAGATTATAATGACTAATATTTGAATAGCTGACAAGTACTTTGCACACACATAATCTCATTTAATCTCCACAGTGAACATGCTTTCCCTTGACACTGTGTATGAGCCTGTATTACTCCACTTAGCAATTTGTGCTGCAATGATGTGTTTATGATCTTTTTCATACCACGGACTGAAGTATCTGAAAGTAAAACCCACAACTTATCATCCCCCCTGACAAATGGTACAGGCCCTGGCATGTGAAGAGTTCTGGGGGATGTTTGAAGAAGAGTGGATAATGGCTGAATGGATGAATGGGTAGTTGAATCAAGTAATTACTGCTTCAGCTAAGAAATAGGATACAATGAGTTGAGTTGTAGATGAGTAATATCTATGATGATAAGACATTCCTGCAGAGATAAACAGCCAGATGAATCTGGAACTAAGAGAAGAGACATAAATTGGGTTTATAGTTTTGAAGTCATCAACCTGTAGTTGGCAATGACTCTCCAATGGCCCTTACAGTCTACAGACCAAGGCACTCACCACTCCTTCCATGTCAAACTAAAAGGTTTTTTATCATAATACCTTAGCTCTCCATATATCTTAAATTCCTAATAATTTTGGTGAGACCCTCCCCCCTTAGCTCTCCTCTTCCACACTGTTGTGTGTTGTTCACTACATGACTCTAATTCTATACTGTGCTTGTGTCATCCAGTCTTCCCATTCTATAGTCAGTAGTCTCTAAATGCATATGGAAATGTGTCTATAGCCTCCAACTTTTCAACTTCTGTACTAAGTAAACCTAACTCTCACAGTAATAGAGTCCTATATTATGAATCTCTGTCTGGAAATTTCCTATTTTTACCTTGTATTGGTTTGACCTGTCAAGCTATGACAAAACACCTGAGAGAACCAACATCAGAGAGCAGAGATTTATTTTAACTCACAGTTCCAGAGTGTTCAGTTCAATTCAAGGTCCTTGGCTTAATTGAGGCAAAATACCATGGCAGCAGGAATATGGAACAACAGCTGTTCTCCTGTGGCAGACACAAAGCAGAAAGCAGGATGGAAAGGGGTGATTGGAAAATACAGCCCCAAGGACACACCTACATCACTCAGCTAGACCCTACCTCCCAAGGTTTCTAGTACCTCCCAAAACAGTACCAACATCTGGTAGTACATATAAGCATGTAGGGGGTGTTTCCAATTCAAGCATAACATACTCCATTTCCAGTCCATCTTTCTAGGACCTCCCAGTAATACCTACTCTGTGATGTTCTACTGTAGTGCTGTGGATCAAATATGCAAGTGAATTGTCTCTTTAATTTAGCTTTTCCTTCACATTAGCCAGAACCTTAACACAAAAGCAGTTTGTCTGTGTCAATGCTTCCATCATATTATGTGGAGAGATTTTATGGCTGGATATTTGTGAGAAGTATGACACAATCACAGTCTGCATATGCATCAGGACAATGTTAATTGCAAAGAACAGGAAGCCAGCTCAAGCTGGTTAAAGTTAAAACAATGGACTGTATTGGCCCATGCAACTTAGGAAGCCCAGCAATGATTCTGGGATCAAGTCATTAGGGTCCCATTGTTCCCAGATAAGGCCCTACTTTGTGGTAACCAATGGCAACCTCAACTTTGTCTACATCCATCCTCAAAGCATCCATCCATTCAATCACAAAGAAGATCTCTGATTGGCTCAGAATTATACAATACTTATCATGTTTTTATGAATACAGCATTATGACTAAGAGCCAAGAAGGGGCACATGGAGATGGAAAGGGGGAAATATATTAAATGCTCAGATATGATAATATACATGAGGCATGAAAACTAGGTCTCTACTTTCTTCTACTGAGTCATTAGTGGACTTGTCACTCACTCATATAGACATTATTTTCAACTTGCTAAAAATTAGCAACATTGAGTGGAACATGTTAGGAAAGCTATGAGGTGTTGCTATCTATCAAAAATTTACACTTTAAATTATTTATCATGATTTTTCCTATGGAAAGAAAAAATATAGGACTAGGAAGGGAGGGCATTAGAAAGGAACATGGATATTGGGTTTGGGAGTCGTTATGCATCCTCTGCATATTTTTAAGTATTGATTTTGTGCCTTCATGAGGAATATGAATGAACTTACCAGCGTCTCATCAAGGAAAGAGAATTGAAGATTCAGTCAGGAGTTTGGTTCAAAGAGAGACTTTAGAGAAAACAGGAAAAGAATGGAAATTTCGTAGAAGACATATGCAGAGTTTTGGGGCCTCTTTTCATGTCCTCTTTCCTGTGAAAGTTAAACCAGGCGTGATAACAAACAATAGCAACATCTGTGGTTCCCTTCCCAAAGCTGAAGAGCTGGCACACAGTGAACTAAAATTGTTGTTTTTATTAGTACTGTGTTTGTACTGTTTAAATCCACACTCCAGTGTATTAGGGATTAATTTGAACTTAGAAATTGCATTCATTTCCTTTGAACAGTATGCTGATAAATTGAAAATTAAATTGAGTCTAAAACATGTCTTACCCTTTACAAAAGTCATAGAAAACTGGCCAACATTAAAATAGGAAAGAACCAAGTTGGGAATTAATTCTTCCTCTAATTTGTTAATTATTGAATTTCTGTGAGTGTAAGTTCCAGTTGAATTATCAACCTTGTCTGGAAAGAATGAGAATGATATTTTAAAAAATAGCCTATAAGTCAAATTGGGTGACAAATGATATATACTGTTGGTATATTTTGGGATGGGGGAAAGTGAGTGATATATTTGAGCATCATTAAAGCTGTCATTGATGAGAAATGAGGTCACTAAATGTGACAGCGTGCTCATGATTTGGGAGCCAAATCGCCACAGAATATAAAATGAGAGAGAAAAAGGCACAGCGTGCCTAATCTATGTGGGGGATCTGCCAGGTTTCACCAGGAACACAAGTGGCACTGACTGAGAATTACTGTTCCTGAAGACCATCAGTGTTGTATATTTTAGGATGGTATTTAGTTTGGAAAGAGTGTAGCTGAAACAAAAGAAATAGTTTTATTGAGACCATGTAATGTTGAAGAATTTCGCACTAATCTGGATGGATTTAAGTTTCCAAAACCAAGCACTTCTCACTGTATTGATTCCTATGAATGTGGGAAGTATATATAAATCAGATAAATAAGTACTCAACACTCCGAATGATACCAAATTTGTGAGAATTATTCAGTATGCATCTTCTTGAAGGCAAATGTACAGTGTCTTTCTACTCATTGAGTAGGAATGTGTAATCTCCCAACAATTACAGTCAGACATTTGCCTCCTGTAGTTTGTGAATAGCAGATCTGTACAAGCAGATTTTTATGCTGAATTTTTCAAAGGGCCAAGGAGAGTTGGAAATATCCTAGGATTAAAGTCTAAAGAGACTCATGTTGAGTACATTATTATAAACCATGTGTTTAAGACACAGACAGACTATTATTGTGCAAAGCTCAAGTGCTATTGATCCCATATCTAGTATCAGTTAGTTACTTGTCTCATTGCTGCTACAAAAATACCTGAGAGATGCCACTTTATTTTTTTTTTCGGAGACTGGGTTTCTCTGTATTATTTTGGAGGCTGTCCTAGAACTTGCTCTGTAGACCAGGCTGGCCTCGAACTCACAGAGATCCACCTGCCACGGGAGAGTGCTGGGATTAAAAGCGTGCACCACCAACGCCCTGCCAAGAGATGCCACTTAAGAAGGACGAGTTTAGCTGGGCGTTGGTGGCACATGCCTTTGATCCTAGCATTTGGAAGGCAGAGGCAGGTAGATCTCTGTGAGTTTGAGGCCAGTCTGGTCTATAGAGTGAGTTCCAGGATGGCAGTGCTGTTACACAGAGAAACCCTGTCTCAAAAAAAACCTGAAAAAAAGAAGGAAGGAAGAATTTATTTCTGCTTACAGTTCCAAAGAATATAGTCCATTATAGTCAGGAAGGTATGGTGGATACAGCAGGAGGTATCTGGTCACATTGCATTCTTAGGGAGTAGAGAATGGTGAATATTTGTAATCTGCTTGCTTTTTCCTATTCATTCAGTCTGATACCCTTGCCCACAAAATAGTACCACCCACATTTAGAGTAGGTTTTGCCACCTCAATTAACCTAATTCTATACAATCTCTTATAGACATGCTCAAAGATTTGTTTCCATGGTGATTCCAAATTTCGCCAAGTTAGCAATAAAAAAGTCTAGCACATACATACACACACACACACACACACACACACACACACACTTTCCCAAGAACTCTAAACAATCCACTGCATTATCTTTTACACATCCAGTTACAGAGAAAAATGACAAATGTTCATAACATAGCCTTAATCGCCTTCTATGTACCATGAATGAATCCTCTAACTAAGCTGTAAAGAACATAATTATATCATGTCTTACTCGTTGGGTGCTAAAGTATTGTCAACTTGCTCATTGCAATCCTCTTCTAAGATTTATGACTTTTTCAGCCCGAGTAAGCAGGCATGTTTTGTTTGTTGATTTGTTTGTTCCAAGTTCCCAATACAGAGAAAAGGAAAGTAAGAGATGGAGGAAGAGGATAAAGTGGAAAGAGGTTGCTCTTTTCCTTCCATCTCTGAAAAGCCATGATCACTACCCAAAATGAAAAGTAAGATAGTTGATGTAACTTAAACAAATGAGATAGGTAAGGACAGAGGGAGGCTAAGACTGTAATAGAACAAAAAGGTATGCCCAGATGCCCCATGACAAGAAACAGTAGCTATTCACTGCTTGACAATTATGTCCAAGTGTCAATTCAGATCTAGAATTTAGTATTCTATCTTTCAGTTTTTATAGTGAGGCTATAAAGTCAGATTTTCCATGGACTTTCTCAATTTTTAAAGGCTGTCTGAATTATTATACCCTATGCCAAATAAAACCTATCTTCCATCCAGAGTTATCTTGTGCAGTGTCCATTTATACCTGTGATTCAACCAAGGTAAATGACATTTTGGTCATTTCCCAAAAGATCTCACAATTAAGCCAAACATGGTGCATAAGCATTTGGTCAAATGAGAACCAAGACTCGTTCACACTTCATGAGCTGCTCAATGCTGTTGTTTTAGTGCAAATGAGCTACAGTTACTGGACTGTGTGTACCATGTGTTAACTGGACTTCATGCATTTTAGGTGTGTATTTCTAGAATAGATTTTTCATGAAAGTCATAAAGCACAACCTTTTGAGACCTGTAAGTTTTAAAATCTAATATTATCAGAAGAAAACAAGCAACAAGTAGATTCTGAATCATTAGCCATTCTGAATGAATTGAGAGAAATAAAAAAGTTGAGTTTAGAAACCACAAAGTAGAACTGGGAAATAAATTAAATAATAACAGACAGAACTTAAATGCAAATGAATTGAATATATTCATTTATTAATGCAAAAAGTATGAACTGAGTGGCATGGGCACACATCATATTAACAACTATACATGTGTTATTTAATCTTTACAACAATCCAGACCTTAGTTTGGGTTCCCACAGAAGCAAAATCTGGGACAAATATTTGAGTGTAATTACTCATTTGGAAGATGCCTTCAGGCAAACTGTAAGGCAGAGAGGTGAAAGAAGCCACAAAGGAGAATAATAGCAAAAGTAGAAACCACCATGAGCAATAGGAACTCGATACATGGGGGCTGCTCTTTAGAACTCAGCCATCATGTGCAATGGGCAGAGGGGCCGGGATATTTATACCATCATCCCCTATAGTCATTGGCTGAAGGCTGCTCTCAGGAAACTTCCATTTCTTGGCACTTAGAGCTGCCAAGATAGCAAGAGGAAAATAGAGCTGCCAAAACAGCAAGAGGAAAATACCCAGGAAACAAATGTAGGTGCCAGCAATGAAAAGTTAGACCAACATAAATAGAAATGGAAAGAGCCAAAGAGATATAGGTGAAACTAAAGACCCTCTACTATTGTCTTTATGGTAGAACCTCCTACTATCCCATTTTCTTAAAAGTTTATATATGGGACTGACTCTTCAATTAAATGTTGGCAAGTACC